CGAGTCCCTTGACTATGCACCACATTAGAAAATGATCAAACAAACTGGATTCCTCTTTGTTCCCTCACCTCTCCCTTAGTGGAAAAGCAGATGAGAGCTTTAGGGAACTCTGGAGCAACAGCACAAAAAACCCTGTTGCTTCCTCATCTCAGTTATCTACACCTTCCCATACAAATGTGCATCACCAAATGGAACAAAAGAAAAGGAGGCTTTTTCTTTCAAACACCAATCATGAAAAGGTCAGCGAGCTTTTGAGCCTTGGCTCTGTTCTTCCTGTCTGAAATTGCGGCCCATATTCTGTTTTCCATTGAGTATTTCAAGGAGGAGGACTGGAGATTTAAAAAAAGAGATGCAGATGCACAATAGACACAGTTATGATTCCAGATGATAGTGACAGTCCACTAACTTGTACTTTTCACACTCAAATTACCTTTTATATCTCTTAGTTACTAAATACTGAAACTGATACTAAAGATAGACAAATATTCTTATTCCATTTGTTTTTAAAATAACACTAAAAAAAACTCACACACATAAATACCCATTCAAACAAAATCAAAGCTCAATTTATGAATATAAATTCAAATATCCAATTAAATATTAAAAAATGCAACACTGTGAGGAAAGGGTTTCCATACCATGTTACTTTTAGCCACTATATTGAACCACACACAAGTGTCTATAGGTATGTACAATAAAACTGAATTAGTAAGCTGTGGAGTCATCTGAGGGTCAGACTTAGAACCACTGATGAAGAAAAATGGAGACTCAGAAGGACTACTATGTCTCCGTGAAGTACTCAATAAACAAACAAACAGCCCCATAGGCTGGAGCAGGGAGCTCTTGTTCGATGCGCATTCTATCCCCTTTGCTTGATTAGACTCAGACAGCCTCTTTAACAAGGTCGCCCTAACAACAGCGACTGTCTCTTGCTTGTCACTGGGGCAGGAGTGAACTCCCTCAATGACAATTATTATAGTTTTCACTATTTAGGAGCATTTGGAACCTCCGCAGTGTGAAAGGTGTGTGAGGAAAACAAGGCACTTGTGTAGGATCTTATAAGAACTGTTTAAATATCTAGCATACCTACGGATCATATTCAGCTGATTCTGTTTTCCCTGATACGAGGGTACGAGGCTGTCTCTGTGGTCAAAGCTACTTTGGTAATTTAGGTCCATTGGCAGGTCTTTTCAGAGCATCATTATCACACCAATATGTATTATGTCAATATAAAAATGCTAAGAAACAATAGTGGAAAACTATTTCTCACATTTAAGTTTGCATAAGAAACCACATACATAAAATATCAAAAACTGAAATAAAAGTTTATAAAATATCACATCTGTGAAAAATTGCAGGTGCTCGTTATTTCAAGTGATCTTTAGACAGTTTGGAATGGGAAAGCCTGATTCAGATTTGCAATAGCTGTCATCTCTGCTGTAGCTCCACTGGCCTGGAAGGCGAGGGACTGTTGAACCAATGGTCCCTTCTTTCCACTGAACTCTTTCTTGTTTGTAATCTCTGACACACATCTACAGGACTACTGTGCTATATATCGCTGTCTAGATGACTTTGCATTTTTTCCCCTTTTTTCAGAAGCAGGGAGGCTGATGCCATCCTCTATTGCTAGCAGATAGTGCACTTCAGGTCCACAAACAAGTCTCTTGCAGCAATGGTTACCAGCTCGTACAGACTATCTACTTAGACAGCACTATCAATGTCTGAACACTAAAGGCTTGCACAATGTTAGAGAGATGGTTTTGTTTTGCAACCCCTTCCAGAGTACTGTATTGAATGATTTTTTGGCATTATGAATTGCCTGCTAAATAATGGCACAGAATTACCTACCATAAGTACCTGTCACCTGTCTTGATGACAAATAAACCAGAAAATACAAGAAAGAGACAATATTGTTTAATCTTTCACTCCTCCGTAAGTACATCATAACAACCATCAGTTATCCGATAGCTGGACTTCATTACTGGGTGATCTCGGTACTACTTGTTGGTATAGCTAAGGACAGACCAGTCACTTCTTAAATAGTTAAATTAAAAAAATATGTTAATTAAATATTTGCAGAAACTTTAAGCTGTTGCTGGGAGTGTTCAGTATAAAGTACTTACATCCGAATTGATGCAGAATCTTTACCTTTGACTTGCAGGAGTGACCTTTTTGTTCAAGGCTTTATGGAGTCACCATCTTCACCCACTGCACAGAAATTATTTCCAAAGGGCATTTTTTTGGCTACACCTTGGTATCAGTAATTTTATTGAAGACCTCTTTTTCCAAGTTCTTCTCCTGACTCACAAATAAGTGAGTAACTTGCAAGTGAGCGAACTATGTGTATAAAGTGTTTGTGTATGTGTGTGTGTGTACAGTAGGTAACAGAGTTTTTCTTCAGTTACTTTTTAGAATGCCGTGATGTTCAGTGGTGTGCACTGAATTTCCTTGAGAACTCTCCTCCACCAGAGAGTTTAGCACAGCAGACAGAAGAACCCATACACACTCCATATGACTAACATGCTAAGCTAGTTAGCTCTATCTAAAACTGTATGCTATAGAGAACATTGCACAGGTCTTCACGATCTATTACATTTTAACTAGTTTTGAACTGCACAAAAGCTAATTATGTATAATGCCAAAATCCTGAAAACATCCAAATGTGTAATGACCCAATTAGGATATACTATAATATAACTTCATGTATAAAACAGTTGGCATATAGCTAAAGATTCTCTGCTTGTTCTGTACTAAAATGTTGCAATAAATATGTATGACTGGATACATACAGTAGCACAAATGTACCAACCATAAAACACATGAACAAAAATTTACTGAACATAGGCTGAATTGCCATTCGCCTTCCAGTTCTTACAGAACACTTAATTCCCAGCTATGTTTGCCATGGGTCCCTTAGGGAAGTGGTGTACACATAGTTTCAGAGGGATGAACATAGCAGCCATCAGTCGTGTGAAGGTGTACTGTCCAATCACATCTATTTGGCCAAACTATCTTCAATTCTGCTGTCAATTACACTTCCAGGAATTGATGGAGATAAACATGACACAGCTGGAGCAAGAGACCATACTACACCTTATTACACTTACAGATTAATTTGAAGGAAAGTTCCTGAAAAAGATTTATTTTTAGGCTTATTTCAATTGGACAGTAAATTCATGTCAAATCAATCACCTGGTAGATGATTTTGACTAATCATGCTTTGTGTCAATAAAATACAACTCGTGTTGTGTATTTCAGCTGCTAATGATTATTATATATCATCCAGCAAGCCACCTAAGATAGATATCCTTGCCCACCAGCTAGCATGCTACAAACTAATTAACTAGTGAGGTACATTGCTTTAATAAATGATCATTTTATACAGTGACTTATGTTTGACTAAATATATTTAACTAAATTAATATAGATAGTCAAATTTACTAGCCATATTCTACAAGAGTTATGGGCATTTTTCTGTGCTATTCAGCTAACAACCTAGCTAGCCAGCTAGTTAATCCAGGGAAAGTGTGACAGGGTGTTCAGATTATAATTTAATATGGGGCAGCAAGGGGATGTGTTGGTAATTAGCAAGGCTTGTAACCCAACCCCAGTTGCTGGTTCAATTCCAGAGTGGAACGGCGCTGTTGTATCCTTGCATAATGTACTTAGCCTGAATATTCTCAGTTCACAGTATACATGGATAGCATGAAACAATTTTGTTTTGTTTAGATAGTAGACACTTTTATCCAGAGTGATTTACCTAAGGAAATGTAATTAATACTTTATTAAAAATGAAGAAAAATCCATTTAACTGTTAGTTTATCTTGCAAGTTAGTCATCCTTGTAATTAGGAAGCATCTCAGCCCTCCTTGTGTTTTTTCTAGTTTGATAGCAGGGGCAGTTTGTTCTTTAGGGCGGTCGGACGACGCACCACCAAACGGGGAAAGGGAGGGAATTTTTCTATCACATTCTACCACAGTGCCACGCTAGCTGTGACTGTTCTAGACAGTTTGTCCTGCCTCTGAATATCATAATCCAATCAGCGTCAAGTTGTGTTCCATGGAGTACCGCCCCTTTCGGGCAATTTCAGTCTGGTTGAAAATCGCCCAAATCGCTTTGATAGACTCTCATGTTAAGGCAATTTTTTTCAAACTGCAGGCACTGCAATGCGATCTGTATGGGTTCCAGGTGGGCTTGTCCTAACGTGCTTTCGTCATACGTAACCTGGTGTAGGGATCGCCGGGCAGCCAGCGATCTTGTCACATTAAAGGTCAACGTGACTAATGTTACCTCAACTCAGAGCAAGTCGATCTTGTCATTAGGAGAAATACCATTCAGTCGTCGTAGTAATCAGGATAAATTGGCAACTAAAGAATTAGGACCACCCAGACCAAATTTAGATATCAAGCAAGTAGTTGCACCTAAAATAAAACGTATGTGACAACTGAATCCGATGATTGTGAGAGTCAATTTATTTTTCATTAATACTAATGTAGTTGCCTTTACATCCAAAGGTGTCTTTGAGGGCAAACTGATAAATGGCAACCCATCTGTTGATAATCACTGTGGAATGTTCATTCATTGTACAGCCAAACTCATTATTCAAGACATTGACAATGAACTCCAGGATGTGGCTGTCCACAAATACTGTACAGTATGTAGCCTAAGGAACAATCCTTGTCTTATGTTTTCATCTAGTGGTTACTATGTTATGTGCACTGTAACTGTAATAAATACTAGGCTATGCCTACATTCATTTCTTTGTTTAATCAGAGCACACCTAGCTACAAAATAAATTTTCTAGATTTGCTGCACCTAAAATAAAATGTTATCTGATGAATACTGAATCAGATTATTGTGAGAGTGAAGACTTTACTCAATTTTATTTGATTAATGGTATAGCAGGTCTCTCTCTCTTCACGTTCAAAGGTATTTGTGAGGGTAAACTGATAGATGACAATTTATCTGTTAATGACCACAGTGGATTGTTCAGTCATTGTGTGGCAGTGGCTCAGGAGGTAGAGCAGTTGACTGGGGATTGGAAGGGCCCTAGTTCAAATCTAGCTCCTCCTGGCAGACTCTTGACGTGTCCTTGACCAAGATACTGAACCCTGAACTGCTCCCAGTGGCCAGCTGGTACCATGTATAGCAACCTCTGCCACTGGTAGGCAGATGTGAGGCATTAACCTGTAAAGCACTTTGAGTACTCAAAACGAGTAGAAAAGCGCTATATAAATGTACCATTCATTGTAGAGCCAAAATAATTTTATTCAAGACATGAACTTACAATGAACTCCTGGATGCAGCTGTTCACAAATACTGTACAGTATGTATCTTAAGAAGAAATCTTAGCAGTTAATTTACCCATTGAGCGGGTCACCTTAGCCATCATCGCAACAATTACCCCCCGTGAGAGATTTGGCAGGAGCTTCCACTGTTTGATAGCTATACAGTAGTGGCACTATCTGCCAGTTTCTCGGTTAGCTAATCTAGACTTTAGGGCTGTAGGAATTTATAATCTACTCTATACAGCTGACTATTCTGCTACAGTCTTGTGGTTTTAAAGCCTTTAAATACAAAAACAGCATAGTAGTATTTTAGGTCCAGTAGGTGCATACATGCAGATCCAAAGACCAAAGTTTGTAAGCTTTGAGATGGGTTTATTTCTTCCTGTGTTTGCTTTCTTCTTACTATAATATGATTGTATAATCCCAGTGGTAGCTCCTGCCAAATCTCTCGGGGGCGGAATTGTTGCAATGATGGCTAAGGTGAGCCGTTCAATGGGTAAATTAACAGCTAGCTAACTAGACATTGTCACATTGCATTGTGCAAATTAGTCAGCTAGCTAACTTGACATTTTCACATTGCATTGAACAATTTGTTCTTTCTGGTCACCTCATGTAGCAATACCACCAGTAACCACTAAATGGCACAACACAAAAATTTCTCCTTAAGCTACATACTGTACAGTATTTGTGAAGGCTACATCCAGGAGTTCATTGTAAATGTCTTCTTGAATAAAATTATTTTGGCTGTATAATGACTGAACAATCCACTGTGGTCATCAACAGATAAATTGTCATCTGTCAGTTTGCCCTCAAAAAGAAAACAAAAACAAAGGACTGAATGTAAGCAAAGCGACGTAGCCAACAAAGCATTATCTACTTCGCAGCCTGCTAGCCATGTTTTCCGCTCATACCAGCTCCTCGAAAATCCCCAGTCATACGACCCCCCTTTGTAGATACTTGCTTGATGTTTAAATTTGGTCTGGATGGTCCTAATTCTTTAGTTACCAATTTATCCTGATTATTACGACAACTAAACAGCACAGTCACACGCACATAGCTATTCTACACTGCTCAAAAAAATTGAGGGAACACTTAAATCACACAGTGGATCTTGATGAACGAAATATTCAAGTCGAAAATCTTCATTGATATACATTGTGTAATTCGTTGAGAACAAAATGACGTAAGAATGGTCAATGGAAACCAAACTCATCAACCCATTGAGGGCTGGATTCAAAATCACACCGAAAATCAAAGTGAAAAATTAAAATCACAGGCTGATCCAACTTGTGTAAATTTCATCACAACAACTCATAATGTGGCTCAGTAGTGTGTATGGCCCCCATGTGCCTATATGCACTCCCAACAATGTCTGGGCATGCTCCTGATGAGACGGCGGATGATGTCCTTGGGGATCTCCTCACAGACTTGGACCAGGGCATCAGTGAGCTCCTGGACAGTCTGTGGCGCTACTTGGCGGCGTCGGATGCGCCGATACATAACGTCCCAGAGGTTCTCAATTGGATTCAGGTCTGGGGAACGTGAGGGCCAGTCAATGTAAACAATGCCTTTGTCATCCAGGACCTGCCTACACACTCTGGCCACATGAGGCCGGGCACTGTCCTCAAGGAACACAGGGCCCACTGCACCAGCGTAAGGTCTGACAATGGGTCTGAGGAGTGCATTTTCTATTGCTTCCAGTGATCCGGCAGTGTAGCATAGTGGTTAAGGAGTAGGACTTGTAACCGAAAGGTTGCCGGTTCGATCCCTGCTGGGACACTGCTGCTGTACCCTTGGGCAAGGGTACTTAACCCACAAATTGCCTCAGCAAATATCCAGCTGTATAAATGGATAACATTGTAAAGAACTGTAACCTATGTAAGTTGCTTTGGATAAAAGCATCTGCTAAATGAATAAATAAATGTAAATGATCCAAAGTAATCTTCCAACCTTTGCCATACCATGCTCACACCTGCTGCTGCATCGTGAACATGGACTGATCGTATTCTCTTTGCGTGCTCAGATGATTTTGGCCCAAGCCATTTACACAGGTGATCAAGCTCTTCCCTTGATGTCAGGTTTAAGCCCTCTGTAGAACTGTGGAAAGATGCTTTCCAGGCCCAATAATTTTCTGGATGGTCCGGAATAGCCCGGAGCTTACCATATCATGACGTATTAAATACTTGGCCAAATCTATTGTAGCTGACGAACTGGACTCATTGGCTCTGGGAGCAACACCTGGATGTGGCTGAGGAGGTTGGTAATCATTGCTGAATGGTCTCGTATTGTCTGACTGCTCTCGGTGGCTGTAGGTGTCTCTGGATGGGCTTTGAGCGGGGAGACAATTTAGAGGGGCATCAACCTTCTGTCTGAATGTGAGCTGAGCAGGTAATCCATGGAATTCATGGTTGCTGATCTCACTTGACTCCACATTACCTTTCCCCATGTAGCTTTTAGCTGCCTCATTGTCGTCCATTGCTAGCTGGCGCGTTGGTGTTGATGTGGGTTCTAGTAGCCTTGGTGCGAGTCAGGTACTGAATTCACTGTGTAATTATGCTCAGAATATTCACTCTTTAGGCTTACACGATCTGGATCCCCTTATTAGTTCTCAGCAGCTGCTTCCAGAACTTCAGCTTCAGCGATGGCAGCTGCAGTGCAAATTGGCTTGAAACTCGGCTTTCTTTCTAGCAGCCTCAGCTGCAGCCTTTTGTTGTTCCTCTTCAATGTATGCTTGCGCCTTAATCATGTCTGCTTCTCTTTGCACAAATGATGCTTGCGCACGTGCATTGCACATGCTATGGCTGCAATGGCACTGGCTGAGGAAAACTGACGGGTACGTGAGGTGTTGGAGCATTGTGATCCTGTTTCAAGCATTTTTTATTCACAAGCAGAAAATCAGAAAACTGCTTAACTGATTAACTGCTTAATTGAAAATCTGTGGCATGACCTGAAAATTGCTGTCCACCAACATTCTCTGTCTACTTTGGCAGAGTTGGAGAAAATTTGCATTGAGGAATGGAAGAAAATTCCAAAATCAACATATGCAAAGCTCACAGAGACATATCTGAGACAACTCAAAGCTGTAATTGTTGCTAAAGGACAGCATTGACTCTGGGGGGTGAATACTTACCAATTAAGCAGTTTTCAGATTTTTAATTTTTAAATAATTCTGAAGATATCTTTATTTCATTTTATTTCTGTAGAGAGTCACTTAAAAGGAGCATAAAAAGATCCCATTGTAATATACTTAAATTTGATGTTGCAACACAGCAAAAAGAATAATCACTGGGGGGGTGAATACATTCTAAAGGCAAACACATATATGTATTCATATAAAATAAAATTATTAATATTTAAAATAAAATTATTTAAAAATATAAAAATATACATTCAGATGAAATAAAATTATTAATATTTGACAATATTATACAAGGGAAACTTGAGAAAAGTCATTATTTCATTCATTTAATAGAAAAAGTCACCAATTACCCATAGTACCCCTGCGAAAAAGTAATTGCTCCTTTTGTTTTGAAACAAAGAAATCAACAAAATTTCAGTTGATAATTAGATTTAGGTGACTGAGCACAGTGAGGCTTGACTACAACCAGCCCTGTTGAGGTTAAATGGCGTATATATTGAACCTTATCATTACAGAGAAGTAGTCATCATAAAGTTTCTACAGGCACACAACGGCATGATCAAAGGAAATTACAGAACAGCTGAGGAAAAAAAAGCTGTTGAGATATATGAGGCTGGAAAGGGTTACAAAGCCATTTCTAAGGTTCCTGAACTCTACTGAACCACTGTGCGAGCCATTATCTCCAAATGGAGAAGACTTGGAGTATTGGAATATTCACAGGAGTGGCCAACCTGCCAAAATTTCTCCAAGGACAAAGCGACACCTCATCCAGGAAGTCTCAAAATATCCCAGAAAAACTTCCAAAGAACTGCAGGCCGCTCTAGCATCAACTAAGGCCAGTATTCATGCCTCAGCAATAAGAAAGAGACTGCAAAAATGGGCTTCATGGAAGTCGGAAACTACTACTCACCAACAAAAACATCAAAGCCTGTGTCACATTTGCTAAAAAGCACCTGGATGATCCCCAAGAATTTTGGGATAACATTGTATGGACAGATATTTTCTTGGTATTAGGACCTTTCCAGTAGGGGAGCCAAATTCCACAGGGAATTGGTGAAGAGATGGCCCAAAGAGCTAGAGAAATAGTAAATAATCTCTTAACCAGCGAGGGTTTCATAGAAACCCTTGCTGCAGCATGCGACAGGAGCGACAGAAGACCGTGTTCTTATGGCTCAATGGCAAGTTCCAGTGCACACCAAGCTACAGAGGAAGAGGTCTGCACACAGTTTGGTGTGTGCTGGAACTTGCCATTGAGCCATAAGAACACGGTTATTTACTATTTCTCTAGCTTTTTGGGCCATCTCTTCACCAATTTTTCCCTGTGAAATTTGGCCCCCCTACTTGAAAGGTGCTAATACCAAGAAAATAAGGACCCCTTAATATAGTCCAAATTATTGCCTCATTCAAATTAGATTATTTAACATTTTTGTTTGATTATCTTTGATTGTACTGTAAAATTTTACTGATGCTAATGTTAAACTTTTGCTCACTCAGTAGCCTATGAAGAAAAAAAAAAGAAATTATTCAAAAAAGAAAAACAACTGTCTTGTGATATGCCTGAGTATAAACTAACTTTTATACATTCAGAGTTACCTTAATATATTCAGAAGTATATTTATATATTCAGGAATTATATTTATATATT